TAGAAGGCCAAGAGGCAAAAGTTTGCAAGTAAATTAAATCACTGTATGGGGTAAAACAAGCACCTAAGAAATGGCACCAAAAGTTTGATGAAGTTGTGTTGTCTAATGGTTTTAAATTGAATAATTCTGACACATATGTGTATAGCTAATTTGATGACAACAGTCAAGGTGTCATAATTTTCCTATATGTAGATGATATGTTGATCTTTGGAACGAATTTGTCACATGTTGAAATGACAAAATCCTTCCTTAGTTCTCAATTTTCCATGAAAGCCATGGGAGAAGCGGATGTCATCTTGGGCATAAGAATAAAGAGAGAAAAAGGAAAATTGATCTTGTCACAATCACATTACATTGAGAAAGTGCTCAAGAAATTCAATGTTAGTGAAAGTTCAACCTTTCTTTATTCAACACCTATGGATCCTTGTATAAAGTTGATACCTAACGAAGGTAATGCAATTTCACAACTGCAATATGCTAGAGTTATAGGATGTTTGATGTATGCCATGACAATTACTAGGCCGGATATCGCTTATGCAGTTGGTCAATTGAGTAGGTTCACTAGTAATCCTAATATGCTACATTGGCAAGCGATTCGTCGTTTGTTGAAGTACTTGAAAAAAACCATGGATTATGGTTTGTGCTATAGTGGGTATTATTCGGTTGTTGAAGGATAATCGGATGCAAGTTGGATCTCAATAGAGATCATTCACCCAAAAGTGGATGGGTATTCCTATACGGGGAAGGTGCCATTTCATGGGCATCAAAGAAACAAACTTGCATTGTAGATTCTACAATGATATTGGAGATTATTGCATTACATTCTGCTGGTAAAGAAGCGGAATGGTTAAGGGATTTAATGCATGAGATTCCTTCGTTACAAAAGCCAATATCGCCAATTGTGATACATTGCGATAATAATGCTACTTTGGCTAAGGCATATAGCCAAGTGTATAATGGTAAGTCAAGGCATATTGGAGTGAGGCATAGTTACATCCAAGGGCTTATCAAGAATAGTGTAATCGCTATTGAATATATTCAAACGAATTTCAATCTAGCCGATTGTTTCACTAAGGCATTGGCTAGAGATTTGAATAATAGGATAGCAATCAATTTGGGATTGGAGCCCTAAGTAATTACCAATGAGGGAGTCTTAAATTAATGCCTAATAAGACGTTGGGTATTAAGTTCAATAAGATTAACTTTCTTATTTGGTAATTGGGAACTTGTTTAATCATCCAAGGTAAAGTTCTGGTTTATTGTGATGAAAAGAGGTTGTTTTAACTTAATAGATTTCCTGATATAGTGCTTTGTCATAGGATCATGTTTTGGAAATCTACCTATATAAGTACGAAGTTTAGCCGCTTCAAGAAGCTATTGGGGCATAGTTTTGATGTACTTACGAAAATATAAGGACACATGGCTTTACGTGTCAAGTATTGATGTAATCAAGTAATTGATCTTGTGTGTGTAATATCTTCATGAATTCAATATGTATTACTTTTGGTTCAAAAGTTTTAGGATACCGAATAAATAAGAATTCTTGAAATGTATATTGCACTAAGTGGGAGTTCAAATCTTTGTACAGTTTCATTTATGCATAAGATTGTTTTTATGATGATGGTTTGCAATGAGTCTAATTTAATACTCTAAATGGGGGAGGATTATATTGTTGAATAATTTAGAGTATTGTAAACAATAATCATGTTGTTTGTTTAATTAGCTTAGGTTAAGGTGCTGCTATTAACATAAACAAGGATTAGAAACAAAGATATTCTTGCTTTAGAGAAGTGGTCCTCCGCCCTGTAGGCCGCCTATCCGCCCAATAGGGCGTGAGAATGAAGAAGATTATCACTGGGAATCGCCCGGCAGGGCGCGAGAGCACTCAAATTTATCTGGGGTTGCTTGTTTCCTCTCGCCCGGCAGGGCACGAGCTTGGGGTGACAGTTTGTGACGGTTTTCTTCTTATTTTACTTGGAAACTTTGCTTCATATATATATGATTATTCATATGATGATATACTTCAAGAAAATCAGTTTATCTATTTCTCTTGAACCCTACTGCAATACCATCGTTCATCATCATAATTATCTCCTATTTTGATTTCATTAGATCACAAATATGCTACACATTGTTTTGATTGTTTTCGTTGTATCTCCTAGTAATTTCGTGATACTCGGTGTGTATATTAGGGTTGAAATATTACTTTATGAAAGTGATTTTGTTCACGCCTCGAAATGTTAAATTTGTCCATTTTCGTTCCATTTTTGTGACACCATAAACCAATTTCCCCAACACGCCGGACCCAGCCGCCCTCCATTGGCGGACCCGCTCTTCCCCATTCCCCTTCCCTCTTCCCCGATTTGAGCAGATGGGGTTTCGGGTTTCCATTTCGGGTGGGATTTCACCTCCATTTTCTCTCTATAAATGGCTTCCTCTCCACCACAAAACAACCACATTGTTCCAGAAAATATCAGCAAGCTACTGTGTTCTCAACATTCTCTGCCTTTTTCCACCATTGCAGAAAAGGAATCCACTCCACCGGCGATTGACGTCAAAATCAACTGTTGTACTCTTTCCACCATTGCTGAAAAGGAATTTATTTCGTCGGAGATTGACGTCGGTCATCAACTACATGAAAAGGAATCTATTCCGCCGGAGATTGATGTAGGCATCAACTGCACTCAAGTCTAATTTCTAACTTTTGTTTATTATAATAAAATTCTTGTCTAATTTCCAATGAGATAATCTAAAAATTAATTAGTTAACTAATTAAGATGCTCATCCAGTTTGATACTTCGTGATATGTATTGCCATTGTTCTTGATAATACTTGCCCAGATTGAACTAATCAACTCCTCAGTTTCTTGATAATCAAAATTTTGGGCGGTGGGGTTCGGATTTTGGGTGGTGATGTGGTGGTGGATCAGGTTGTGGTTATGGATGGATGGGTGGTGGTCAACTGGTCATGTTGGGTTGACATTGAAGAAAGGGGTTAGGTGGGAGATGAGAGATTAAAATATAATAAAAAAAAATTTAAAATTTTAACCTGTAAAATAGGTTGGAGGTAAAAAGACTGTTTTGAGTGAATGGGGATCAAATGTGGGATTGGTTTTAAATTTCAAAAAGGTGAGATTATTTTTAATGGAAGTGGTAAATGTGGGATTATTAATTTTCATTTATCCTAATAACTATTCAAGAGAATTTATTTATTAAGTAAAAGTGAAATTGATGCATTTAAATTGAAAGTTTCATTTATAAAAAGTGATGTATCTAATAAAAAATGAAGAAATAAAAAAAGTATAATAATAGATTGAGGAATCACAAAAAACTAGGACCAGGTTTGGCCCGTGGCCCATTCCTAACACTAACAAGCCGAGCTAGGCTTATCACGAGCCTGGCAGGCTAGGTTTTTAAAGGCTGGGATGAGCTGGGTGATGGGCAAGCCTAGCTCTCTAGCTCAAGGTATATAATTAAAAAAAAAACCTAAATTATTATAAAAACAAACAAACGAAGTCCCTTTGTGGCCAAGTTATTTATTTGAGATAAATGTAGAATATATTTAGAGGTCATTTGGTTAAATGTAGAAATTACAAATTTTTTTGAAAATTCAATTTTCCATGTACTACCTCCGTTTCATATTAGTTGTAACTTTGGAATATTTTATATCTCACAAAAAATACCCTAAAGTTGCAACTAATATGAAATGGAGGTAGTAATTGAATTTTCCTAGAAATGCTAAATAGCATTTGGTCAGTCATATAAAGTTCCAATAATTACCTAGGTATCTCTAGGTGATTAAGTTTCTTCAAATGTGAAAAGTAAAATTTTCTAGCAATTTCTACTTTTCACGAATTTGTTAACTAAAGACTACTTCCTCCGTTCTTTTTTACTTGACCTGTTTCTTTTACCACACTTGTCAATGCAAAACTTTAACGATCAATAACTTTAATTCTCCATAAGTAAAAATTATAAAAGTTATATATTATGATAGTATTTATTGAGACGAATTTAAAAATATCTCACACGAATATGTTTTTCGTTATATATCATTTACAAAAGATGGTCAAAGGAGGGGTGGTGAATAGTGTAAAAGTCAAAGCGGGTCAAGTAAAAAAGAATGGAGAAAGTATAAAAGAATTTCAATTCGTAAGAAATTCAATTTCGATTATTTTTTGTCAGCCAAACAACATTTTAGATACAATAGTTGGATTTCTAACATGCGATAGTAACTATACTCCATCGGTTTCGTAATAATTGCAATAGTAGGTCTTGTATAAAGTTATAGGAAATTTATAGGGTAGGGTTTATAGGGTGAATTTTATAATATAGAGTATAATTAGTGGGGATATAATCAATTGTTAGTAAAAGAGATAAATAATAATAATAATAATAATAATAATAATAATAATAATAATAATAATAATTAAAAAAAAAGGAGTTTAAGTAGGGTTAGTATTAGAGAAAGACAATAAAATGTTTATGCATGTGGAATTAGGGGGAGAGAGAAATAATAAAATACTTTATTGTATTGAGTTCTTCCAAATTAGAAAGTATTACTATTATTATTAAACGAATGTAAAAAAAAAAAATATTGTGATTATTACAAAATGGAAAAGGTATTGTATTTTATATCTTATCCACATTTTGACGAAATGCGTCATTGATCGCCTACATCTCACATGATAATAAGACCCGCCTCTGTAGCTCTATGATGAAAATCCAAAGTTGTAGGTACATGTGGGGTGTCCATTATTTTTACCCTCCATACTCGTTCATTTGTTGGGTCTTTTGTAAACAACAGAGATCTAATTGTCTAGAAAAATAAATTATTTTTTTTTATTAATATATTTCATCATTGCAACATGCAGGATATGATGTACGGATTATAAAATGCGTATTAAATAGAGATTGGAATAGAAGTAAATGAAAAAAAAAACCCATAAAGATGTGATTATGAGAGAGAAATTATAGATTAATAAGAAATGTTGTAATAAATATGAAATTTTTATAAACTATAGATGGAGTATAAAATTTATAAAACAGAAGTACATTAAATTCAACAATATGTTACATTTTTTTCCCCTAAAGAAAAGGGCAAAGTTATTTTACAACGAACCCAATCCTTCCTATAACAGTAGAACTCAATATAGAAGTCATAGTATTAACAAATCAATATTGAATTTTAACTACATTAATCAATTTATAATCCTACAATTTTTCCTAATCTCTCCACTTGATCCAGTAAGGGGACTAATATTCCCCATTTTCACCATTGCATTAGCAAAATCAATAGCAAAAGCAGCAAAGTTCAAGCTGTAAAGCCTAACCAACCTATCTTGTGATCCACCATTGAACAACTCCTGATCCGAGTGGAAAAGCCCACGTCTATTCACGAGGTCTTGAAAGTAAGCATTATCGAAACGATTAGGCGATAGGATGTCAATTGGAGCGAGGTTGTCATCCCCTGTACCGGAGGCGGGACCGGGACATGTTGACTTGCGGAGGGTGGCAAAGCTGGGGTCGATGTTGGTATCGTTGTAGATGTGGTCTCGGAAGGTGGTGCATCGTGCCTGACCGATAGTGTGTGCTCCTGAGAGGGCGGTCATGTCACGAGCGTTTAGGCCTTGGGCGGCGAAGGAAGAGATCAATGTACTTAGGTTGGCAAAGGGTGGTGGGAGATTAGTGTTGGCTGCATTTTGGCTTGCTATTTTTGCATCCATTCTTCCCAATGGTACTATCCATGAGGGGCCTCCCAACTGCATGAAAAAATTGCCACATTACTTAGTTTTGTAATGTATTATATATTTATACTGACAAATTTTCTTGTACTAAAAAGATTAGATAAATTTTTTTGAATTATTAAGCATTTTCAATTTTATCTAATTACATTCCAACTATGAAATCATAAAATTATCTTTAGTGGAGTTGTGCATTAGGCATTTAATTATAAGACTAATTATAAAGTACAAAAAGTGAAATGAAAATAGTACTCCCTCCTTTTCTATATGACAATCCCACATGGAATCAATCGCATAAATAAGAAGAGATAAATATTTGGATCTAACATTAAAGTATAAAAACAATTCATAATTAGTTTTTCCTTATTAAATTTTTTTTATTTTTTTTGGGAAAGCATCAGTCATAATTGCATAATTCAAGGGAGAAATTTCCTTATTTAGAGCCATGTCATCAATCAACAATTAATTAATTTAATCAATCAGAATTTAATATGTATAAAATAGGAAAGAAAAATTTGCAAATTGCAGCCATTTAAAGTTAGTATTTTGCAAATTACAACCATTTAAAAAAAAATTGCAAATTGCAGCCCAAAAGTTGTTATAAATTGTAAATTTCAACCTACTTCAATTTTTCATCGGTTTGCGTGTCGAAAAATATTCGGTTAAGGATTTAGCGGCCATTTTAAGTCCTTAAGGATCCAAATTGAGCTCGGAATTGATAAAAAAAAAAACATAAGTGCTTCATTTTGCAATCGATGAAAAAGTTGAATTTTAATTTGCAATTTTTTTTTTTTAAATGGTTGCATTTTGCAAATTTCCAATAGGAAATAAAAACCAAGTTAAAAAAGAAATACATTCAATATGGGTAGATCTATTTTAAAACGCCCAAAATAATATATGGGACTAACACGTAAAAACGAGGGAGTACATGTTACAAGCTTACAACAAATCACATGTTAATATTAAATATACATACCAGATTACCTGCCATATTTGTCATCTAATGTTGCGTTTCGAATTTTTGAGCTATAAAAACAGAGTATTTGTTTTAGATTTTAACTAATAGGTGTTGTAGATCTACTTACCAAGAAAACTGAAGTTCGCGCTGCAAGTGCGAGTATGTCAGCACATGAAACCGTACCACTACAAGCTGCTTCTACATTAGACTTGATTGTGTCAATAACATCAAAGCCTCTAGCTGAATTTTGATTAGGTAACGCATTCTTTTCTCCAGTGAAGGTGGGTGTATCGTCGAGGAGGACAGAAGCATCACATCCCTAACGACACAAACATGTCAATAATACTAGATTATTAGTTAAAATGATAGAAAAAAGAAAAAAAAAAAAAAAAAAACTTTAAGATTTTTTTTTTACAATATTTCAAAGCTTACATTAACAAAACAATCATGAAAGAACAATCGAAGGATAGAAGCTCCCATTCGCGGCTCCTTTACTAACGCCTGCCTCATAGTATTAGTTACAATAAATTGAAGCGTAGGACATGTCCTAGCATAAAAAAACGGTGTAAGTTGCGCATTTGTAGAGCTTGCAATAAGCAAAACGAGGGAGAGTAAAATCGAAAAACGGATTGTAGAAGCCATGAAACAGGTGCACTAATTTGTATGTAGACAAGAATTGAAGATGTATTATCAATTATTGTAAGTTGTGAGATGAAGTAGAGAATGAAGGGAAGTAACACTAGTATATATATTGCCATAATATGCAAAGCATGGTGCATATGAAGCCAAAAACAACGTGCATGGCCAAGCTACATACATTGTTTTGACTTTATGTCAAAGATTACAACTTAAACGCGTTTCCTTGAATTATTTCAAACCAAGATATATAATTTTTAGTTGACTTAAATTATACATAAGATGTCAATCAAGTGATATGGTGAAGCCAATTTAAAAATTAAATTGGATTTTTACATAATTTGCTCCATTACTCTTTTACATAATGTTACAATAATTAGCAATAACGAATAATAAATAAACACTATATAAAATCATCAATTAAATCCCTACATATTATGTATTTATGGCGTAATCAATTTCTTTCAACCATTAAATTTTTAATGCTTTGACATATTCAAATGGTTCCAATTGATCTATGAAGTAATTGCATCATTAACATAATTTTTTTTTCCATTTCATAGCATGTATGTATGTTATTTTAACTATACATGGTGATTTACACTTAAAGGAGAAAATATATAATCATATGTAGAGGGGAGCAATACAGGATAATTTGCATATGAAAATTTAAAATTAAAAGCAAAACCTGTTGCAACAATTAATTTCTTAAAATTGGAACCTAATTGCTTAAACAAGTTTCTGCATATGAGAACCAGAGGTGGAACCAATGAGTACCAGTGTCATTTTATAGACGATAAATTGAAGTCAATTTATTTTAAAACAAATGGTTTAAAAAATATATGATTTGATTTTAGATTTGTTTTAATAGTTTGAATTTTAATTGTTATTCCAAAATGGGCTTGAATTGTTGTAAGGTGTTGATAGGGTACACAATAACAAGTTCCAATTACAAAAAATTAAGTACCGAAACCATCTGATTGCAACAAGTTTCCATTATTACCAAAAAATAGAGTGGGTGGTTCATGTTAATTAAAAAAAAAGAAGAGACAGAGATGATGTAAAAATGGGTAAATAGTGTCGGGGTAAGAGAAGCAAGCTTAAAAAATATAAGCTTTTCAAAAAGATAAAGTAAAAGTGAATCGAACTTTTTAAAACACTTCAAAATAGAGAGCGAGTTGAATTTCTTGAAACAAATGGAGTTCTAGTTCAAATTAGTTGGTGTATAGTGCTCAGGTTGCCCTTAGTCAAAATAACCACTTGTGCACTTTGGGGTTGCGCAATGTTCTTTTTGTCTAAAACTATTTTGTATATGTTCTTCTAATCATACTGGTATTAGTTTGAATGTGCCCCATCTACAATACTATACTAAAGCTTCTTTTTTTTTTCTTTTTTTTTTCTTTTTTTTTTCGCTCTAAAAGACCTTAAAATCCCGCTGATTTTCTTCTTGTGTGTTTTTTTAAATTTTTTTGTTTTATTGTTACCTACTTATTTTTTTGGTTAAGAGATTATTATTATTATTATTATTATTATTTTATTAAAAAAAATATAACCTTTATCACCTACCTATTATTTTTTGGTTAAGAGATGTTTATTGTTGTTTTGCTAAGTACAATATGTTTTGAAATAATACATTAATATACATTAAATATTTAATTAATTAATTAATTTATTTATTTTCTTTACCTTTATCACCTATCTATTTTTTTGGTTAATAGATATTTATGGTTTTTATTTTATTTTATTATTTTTTTAACCTAATTATTTTTTGGTTAATAGATATTTATTGTTATTTGGCATCTATTATAATGCTAAAAATATTACTAATATATCGTACCAGCCAAAACTACAATATTTCGTCGATAGTATTTTCAAGTAGGTTCTTTTTTTTTTTGGTCGCATATGTTCTAATAACAACTAATATAAATATGTTAACACTAACTTTTTTATGACACAGATGTACTAATTTAACATCTTGGGCATCGCACGGGTACTATCTAGTGTTCTTTTAATTTATATTGATTTCAATATGCCCGTTGTTCATTTATCTTTTGAAAAAAATTGAGCATGTTTTTTTGGGCTTAAGGTACATGTTCTTTGCGTTTGGGTATATAGATTAGAAAAGTTCTTTGGATTTAAATTCTACAAAATATGTGGTTTTTTTTTTCATTAGGATTCATTTTTTTTTACAACTCATGTGTTCATGTATGATTCAATTCATGTTCATTTGTTTTAGGTTTATATTGTTTGAATTTAATTTTTTTGTTCATCAGGTGCACAATGTCACACAAATCAATAATTACTTCATCAGATTGTTATGTTAGTTTTGCAATTTGGTACTCCCTCCATCCCATAATACATGAGATGTTGGACTTTTTTCACTAGTCATCCATTAGCTTTGACCATGATTTTTTACTAGCATAATAAATATATTTTATCATAAAATATGTTGTTAGATAGGTATTAATATAAAGTTTCATAATATAAATTTTTTTTTTAAAAAAATTTATTAATATTTAATTATATAAAATAAAGTCAAATTAGTGCATTGGCATGTGTGCACTATTGAATGTGTTTTGCATTCTGGGACAAAGGGAGTATAACATATTGTTGTGCCTAAAATACTGTTACAGATTCATAAGTCTGAAGTTTTCTCAGGTTGCAGCTTATAGATTGCCACGAAGTCAATCACCTGATTTCAAGAAGTCAAAGATAGCTATGTGAAAGTCTTTCCAAGGAATATTCTAAGAGATTCAAGTTTGAATAAGTCAAAAGGAGTGCCCAAAAGAATCGGGACCAGTTAGCCATACCTAATCAGCATAAAGAATGGGTCAAATAGCTACATATAGAAAATATGGAGTGTGACATATATCTCGGAGCATAATCTAGCAACTAACCCCGAATTCCACGAAATCAGGAAGATAACTGTTGCAGAGCTTCAAGGGGTCTTTTGATTATAAATATAGGAGAATATCTTGTAAAGAAAATCATACAACCTCTAAGATTTTGAAATTTATATTGTACACCAAGGTGTACCATGCCCATGTACTAGTAGAAAAAACTAAATAGGCACCCCCCCTTAGCACCGGTTCTTGAAAACCGGTGCCAAAATAAATGGGTGGGACTTAAAAATTCAGAGTTGGCACCGGTTCTAACCAAAACCGGTGCCAAGCATTTAATTAGCACCGGTTCAAACCGGTGCCAACTTATGAAAAAAAAAGTATGGGAAGGAGTTGGCACCGGTTCTCCTTAAACCGGTGCCTACTATGGTATTTAGCACCGGTTTAAACCGGTGCCATTTTTGGAAAAAAAAACCGGGCGAAATAAAAAAATATCGGGGTATTCATTTCTCTGCTTCTTCTTCTTTCTTTCTTTCCCCCCTGCATTTCATTTTCGTTATTCCTAACTCTCGTTTTCACCCTTCTCTTAGCTTCGACCACCTTTCTCCATATTTCTCCTTCATTACGCGTGCTCGTAGTTCTCCATTGAAGCGCATTCTGAGCTTTGTCCATATCACTCCTCCACTACGCGTACTGTTAATTCTCCATTGAAGCGGAGTCGAGCTTTCTCACCTTCATTGAAGCAGCTTCGAGGTAAAAATTTATTTTTGTCCTTTTGTTTTCGCAATCTAGGGTTTGTCGTTTTTTTATTTTCGATTTTAGGGTTAGTTCTTGTAAATTAGGGTTAGTTTACTACTGCAACCCTCTTAATTTTGATTTGGGTTCTCTGGGTTTGGGTTTCACTTTGGGGTTTTTCTAGATTTGACTTTCTTTTAGGTAGTCAATGGGGAGGCAGTTTCGTGGGGGTTTAGGGGTTTCTTGGGTGGTCAGGGTGGCTGCGGTGGTCGATTTTGACTGTTCAGATTACATTGATTATGGCACATCTGGTAAAATAGCAGGCTTCATTGCTGAAACAATTCAGGTTTACCTGTCTCTTTGTTTCGTGCTACAAAAGTTACTTGCTTTTAGTTATTGTAACTCAATGGTACTTGTTATTTATGTTTAGGGTGTTGGAGGAGCAGTTGAATTAGCTCTTGGATATTTGTAGCTGGTGTATGATATGGTACGTAAGGCTTGTTTCGGGGTTTTTTTGATGTGTCCTGCGGGAGAGTTACAATTCCGAGAATGCCCTTCGCCGCCTGTACCTGCAAAACCACGAAGACTCCGGTTGGTTGGAGCTCCGCCTCCGACGATCAAGTCAGTTACGTACAGGAGGAAGATAGTGCGTAAAATAATGAAATTACTTCTCGCGTAATGGGAGAATTCTGCAATTAATATCGCTCGGTTTTTGTGTAAGTCTCAATGAATGTATTGAATATTCTGAATTGAATTCCCCATTAATGAGGATTCTCCCACTATTTATAGTGGGGAGACTTGGTTCCCCATTTAGGATTCCTGGGACACGTGTCAGCAGGGGATTGGAGCCCTGCTAACCAATGGCGGGGTGCCACGTGTCGCTCTGCCATAGGGCCACGTGGATGGGGTATTTCTACCCCAAACATTTGCCCCTCTCAGCTGCTGACGTGGCAGAGTGCCACGGGGCGCCTGAGAAGAGAGCTGACGTATGCAACTTTTCTTTTCTTTCTTTCTTTTTTTTTTTTTTTTGAAACCTCTTCAAATTCTAACTGAAAGAGGAGGGAAAAGCAGAAGGGGAAGGGTCGCGTCCCTTCGCCTTCTGAGGCAACCCTTATAAAAGGGGGGAGACACACACGAGAGCTCATTTACAAACTTCGTGAATTTTCTTGAATTTTGAGAGCATCCGGCATTTGAGAGCATCCGGTACTTGAAATTCAGAGCAGACAGAGATTTGAAAATTTAGAGCAGCCGGTTTTCAGACCGTCTGTAAGGTAGCAAGCAAGCAAAGGTTTTTCGTGAGGGTACCCAAGAGAACCCAGCCGGTCTTCAAACCGTCTGTGTCTTTGCAAGCATCCCCAAGAAATTTCTTGAGGTTTCAGCAATCTCTTATACTCTAGGTACCGTCTCTATTCCTTCTCGCTTTTCCATGTATTTCCGTTTGCGTATTTTGCTTGCATTTTTGTTTATTAGTCCCATAGGTAGATGGAC